CATGCCTGGCCTGGTATGTTAAAATGTAAAACCAATAAAGAACATAGTAGTTGCTTGAAATAACAGGCAGTCATTGTGTTGGGGAAAGTTAGTGTCCACCAATTCTAGATAGGATCATGTGCTTCATGTTCATCTCTGGAAGTCCAGGGGACTGTAGAGGTGTCACTGTAAGCACTTAAGGGCACAGGTGTAAACACCATCTATTTTCTTATCTGAACTTCCAGAAAGAAAGGACTTGGAGGTGACAGAATTGCAAGCCGGAAACAGCCTCCGTGCCTATATTTCTTCTGCAGCCTAACACAGCCTCCCACATGCATTGAACTGTGCTGTGGGTGAGAAAAAAAAGCCATAAGAAAAAAGGAGGAGAGACAGACACGGGAGAAAAGCCACACTACAACAGAGGCAGAGGTTGGAGTGAAGCATCTACAAGCCAAGGAATTCTGAGGACGGCTGGCAATGCCCAAAGCTAAGAGGAGGTCCTGGAACAGATTCTGCCCTGGAGCCTTCAGAGGGAGCATGGCCTGCCCATGCCTTGATTTTGGACTTTTGGCCTTCAGAACTGTGAGAGAAGTTTCTGTTGTTGTGAGCAGCCACGGGCCACTCACACACGGGCCTCCCCGAGACCCCTGCACAAGCCTTTACTCCCAGGACTCAGCTGTTTCACTGAGTACCAATTTTCCCCCGTGGCACCTGTGTCATATCTGAAGCAGAAGCTTGTGGACAGGGGATTCACAGACACAAATTTGCGATTCTTTTAGGGTAGCATGATATCTCTCCATGAAGGGCCATCTGTCTTGGTGTGGACTTTGGCTCAATCTGGACTTACTCATCCCTATGGTTCAGGATGCACTTGGACACCAATGCAGCAAGGGCATGGTGCGATTCTTCTGCCTGCTGTTTTCAATTTGTCTTCTTTTCTTTTCTTCTTTCTTTCTTTCTTTTTTTTTTGAGACAGAATCTCACTCTGTCACTCAGGCTGGAGTGCAGTGGCATGATCTCAGCTCACTGCAACCTCCACCTCTTGGGTTCAAGCGATTCTTCTGCCTCAGCCTCCCAAGTAGCTGGAATTACAGGCGTGCACCACCATGCCAGGCTAATTTTTGTATTTTTAGTAGAGAGAGGGTTTCATCATTTTGGCCAGGCTGGTCTCGAGCTCCTGACCTCAAGTGATCCCCTGCCTTGGCCTCTCAAAATGTTGGGATTACAGGCGTGAGCCACTGCGCCTGGCCCCATTGGTCTTTTCGCTGGTTTTAGAAGCATGGACTCTGATGCTTTGAATGACTTTGAAGCCATTTTTCTCGTCTCTTGGCAGCCTTCCTGGAAAATGCGTCTTCCGATGCTGCCAAGTCGAAAAGGGAAAGAGAAATCCAATGAAGTGAGGGGAGTGTGGTCTTAGCGCCATCGCCAGGGTGGTCACTGGCAAGTCCTGGCTCTTCCGGGCTCAAGCAGGAGTGGGACCATGGAGCATGGGCGTGCACAGGCACAGGTGTTTAGGGATGCAGCATGTGGATTAAGAGAATGAGTGAAATGGCGGGCTTTCTTCCTGTGGCTTTGGATTAGCAAAGGCGTCTGTGATTGGAACCCTGCTGCGCTGCTGATGAGAATGGAAAATGGCGGTTTCTCAAAAGGTTCAACCTACAGTCCCGATAGGATCCAGTAATTCCACTGCTGGGTATAGGCCCAAAGGAATGGAAGGCAGGGTCTGGAAGGGCAGTTTGCATGCCCATGTTCACTGCAGCATGATCCACAGGAGCTGAAATGTGGAAGCAACCTAAATGTCCATGGATGGCTGATGGCATAAACAAAATGCAGCATATCCAGACAATGGTGTATGATTCCCCTTAAAAAGGAAATTCTGACACATGCTTCAACGTGGGTGACCCTTGAGGACATCATGCTAGTCACAGAAGGGCAAATACTGTAGGATTCCACTTCTATGAGGGTATGAGGGGCCTAGAGTGGTCAAATCCATAGAGACAGAAAGTAGAAGGGTGGGTGCCAGGGGCTGGGGGGTGGGGAGTTGGGGTTGAACGGGGCCAGAGCTTCAGTTTGGGAAGATGAACAAGTTCCGCGGCTGGATGGTGGTGATGGCTGCACAGCACCGTGAATGTGCTTGTGATCTGTGTTTTACCACAATAAAAGAAGTGAGGAGTGTGCATGTGTGTCAGGGAGCCTCAAATTCCTAGGCCCAAGGGATCCTCCCGCCTCGGCTTCCCAAAGCGCTGGGATTACAGGCCTGAGCCACTGGGCCATGTACTACAGGCCCTTTCAAGTCAAGGCAGCCATAGCTCCTGCAGCAGCTGGAGCCCCTCCCCACGGGGCCTAACATCCCAGCATTAGTTCCTCTTCTGCTTACACATCCGGCCAGGCTGCTGCACACCCAGGGGAAACCCCCTCCTGCCCGTGGCTTCTCCAGCTCTGTTAAAGCGGCATGAAGGCACCTTTGTTTTGTTCCGCACGTTAATTCACCAAATAATAAATCACACACATTACCCAGACCAGGATGTAAGGAGCCTTTCATTTTTTTTATACACAGAAATTTTGGTCTATTCTTTAAGTTAGGAAATTCAACTACAGACTTTAAATTATTATGCATCTGTGATCTTTCTCATTAAGTTTTTTTTGTTCATCTTTGTAACAGGCAGATAAAAATGTAAAACATATTTATGAACTGAACACAGTTGACCAAGCCATTCCAGGTAATATAATGCTTTATAAAGAGGGGCTTCCCAGTGAGACAGGGCCCCCCGCCTGAAGACTGCAAAAATAAGAGCAAAACATTCCAGGTCACGGTGCCCCGTTTCTGAACTGCACACCACAGCACAAAGGTGACCTAGGGACTAAACGATCGACATTTACATGAGGCAACTTTATACAGCAGCAGTGAGGGTTTGCTTTTAATATCTATTGGCCATTGGTCCTATCGGTGTGTCTACGACAGAGTGAGAAGAAGCCGGTGATTGCAGCAGCACGCAGCTCATCTTCCGCAATGTCAATGTCTCAAATTTGATTTCTCGTTGAAGAACACAAAGACCCTCAACAAATGGAGTTGCCCTTTTTCTTATTATCGTCTAAACAAGGACATCAGGGAACAGTTTACAAATGGGTAACATTCTCAATGTGCCCTTTAGAAAAAAGGGATGGCTTTGAGTTATCTGCAGCTGGCATTTTAAAGTGGGATTTTCTTTTCTAGCCAAAATTCTTTTGCCCGAGATTTGACTACTCCTGCTGAGGGGTGACATGGCATTAATGGTAATAGTGGGGATGGTGCCTGCTCCTGTTTGGTTTGTGTGGATGCCAGTGGAGGTGTGACAAGCCTCCCGAGGGTGCCAGTCCACATTGGTGGCTTCCATTCCGATCCTCTGTCCCTCAGGTCCCAACTGTCTCCCAGCGGCTGAGCCCCGGGCCCAACCACCTCCCTGCAAAATGTGACACCTGCAAGTGCAGAAGGCAAGGGTCCCCCATGGCATCACTGTGTGGACCTAGGGGCTTCCTCAGGAGGGTGGCAAAAGTCAGGCCCCTCTTTATCCCCTCTGCTCATTTGGGGGAAACTGAGGCTTGGCCACCAGGTGCCCACACTGCCAGGACAGGCTCCCCTCAGTACCTGGTGCTCAGCCACAAATCCATGCCTTCATGGCTTAAGCTTGGCCTCTGGACACAAAGACTAGGGTGGGAAGAGTGCTTTGGTGATGGCATCTCTGGTGTCACAGCAGACATTGAGGTGGTCTACTGAGGACTCCTCGGCATTTGCCAAAGCAAACAGTGGGAGTCCATCCAGGTGCTGAGGGGACAGGGTCTGAACTGTGGCTGCCTCCCTGCCGTCATTCTCCCACCGCCAGCTCCTCCAGGCTTCTGATGCTCCCTCTCCCTCCATTGGCTTCTTTAGAACTCTTGGCCCTGCCCCTGCCCCCTCGGACCTGTGCTCAGCTGGGGCTGCTCCCTGGACTCTGGCAGGACCCACAACTCCAAGAGTGCTTCATGCTCTTGAAGTTGGGGGCGTGGCCAGGATGAAGGATGTGGAATTGCAGCAGAAACCAAAGAAAGCTGAAAACGAAACTCCCGTTTCACTAACTGGAGGACTCCCTCTCATCAATATTTTGTTTTTTTCCTTTTAGATTAAAATTTCAATTGAAAGGGTTTTCTCCTCTCTGGCAGGGGTCTCAGTGCAAATGCTCCAATTATACCTGCTCCAGACCTGGAGCGTCCCCTCTCCGCCTTCTTGGGAATCTCAATAGGACCAGGCAGAGGGCAGGAACGAAGGGTGGGGGCAGGGAGATGAGGGACAAAAATGGATTGACCAGAAAGCTATTCTTGCAGTCTAGTTCCCCAAAAACAAAACAAAACAAAACAAAACAAAACAAAAAACAACAACAGCAAAAAAAACCCTTGCTACATTCAATAATGAAATTTCCAAATGAAAATGCCTGAAAAGAGGAATGCAAATATCATGCCAGTAAATAGTTCCTTATTGAAATATGCTTCTGGCCATATAGATGTGCATGTGTACAGATCCACACACATATATGTGCACACATGCACACACATGCACACTGCAGATGTGCCTAGTTTTTGCTGGGGGCGGATTGCTTTGTGGCTGCACCCCTCACAGCCCTGCAGAGCACTCAATTTTTTTTTTTTTTGCATGAATATGCTGACCTGATTGCTCCTTCATGGGTGCAACAAAAGCTCCCAATAAACCCAAAGCAGCCCCCTGCCCACTGCACAGCCCAAAAGCAAACACGCGGTGAAACTGTAGTTCGTTAAAAAAGAAGCATCAATAGAAAAAATGGTGGGGAACTCAGCTCTTCACACTTTCTACTTCTTCTCCTTCCTCCTTTGGACGAAGAACCTTCTCCTCCCCCTTTTTGTCCTCCTCTTCCTCCTTTTCCTCCTCCCCGTCCTTGTCTTCCTCAGTCCGGATGAGGAGCCTGTGGCAGGCTGCACCCTTGTTGAATGGATTTGGCTTCTTGCAAATGCCCTGCCAGAAAGGTCTTCAGCCACCTTAGTTGTTCCCCCGTTTTGCAGGTGTGCAGGTCCCTATATGTGTGTGTGCGTGCATGTGTGCATGTGACTTCGTGTGAGTCCAAGTGTCCGTGTGCACATGTGCTGAGACAAGTTCTTGTTAGAGGGATGTCTCCACGCTGTGGAGCGGGCTCCCGGGACTGGAGGAAAACACTGAAGAGGTAGCTGACTTGGTGACATGCGTGGTCAGGTAGATGCCGCTGTCTATGGCGTTGTTGTTCTGGTTGGGGGATGGGGGCTGGGGGGCCCGGAGGCGCTCCTCGTTCTCGTCCACGTCCGTGTCGTCGATGAGCGGGATGTTGTGGGTGTAGTCATTGATCAGAAACTCGGGCGTGGCCATGAAGTTGTGAATGGAGGTCTTGGATTCTGGTTTCTCCAGGCCTTCATAGAGTGAGCTACGGAACGCTTTCACCACCCGGATCTGGAGTGGGAGATGGAGGGACAGGGCCCGACGTGGGAGCAGGGAGGGAGAAAAGGAAGGGAAAGGAAAGGAAAGGTGGAAGGAAGGTAGGAAAGAAGGAAGGAGACAGTCAGTGGCCAGCTGGTGCTGGTAAGTTCCACCCACATCAATGGCTGGGGGTCATGGCATGAGAAATGTCCACCCATTTGTTGGAGGGCTGCTACGGAATGGGGTGGCTCTGCCTGCCTTTGGAAAGGGTTTTCAGGTGTGGGCCTTGGTCTCGTCAACCGATCTGCATGCAGGAAAAGATGGCAGTGTCTTTCTCTAGGCTGAGCTGGGCAGGTATTCTGGAACTCGAGAGTGCTGCACTAGGCTCGTGGCTGCGACCTCCCAATTCCCTGTCCCGGGGGGACGACTGGCTTCGGTGACCTCCAGGGTCTCTGCCCAATCTGAATTCCAATTTGGTAGAAAAGAAAGACGATTTGAAAAGGAGAGAATGCTGGTGAGTGGGCTCTCTTCTCGATCTTACCAGAAAGTCGGAAGTACCTGCTGGTATAAGCAAGTTCCCAGCCTATGGGCACTGCCGGTCTTTCTCGCATGGGTCTCCCTCCATCCCCCAGCTCCCATGGCTGGAGCCGGGACCTGCCATGCCCAGAGTCCCCCTGCAGCTAACTGCGCTGTCCACTTCTGCATCTTCGTCTTATTTGATCCCTCAGGGCACCCAACACAGATGATCATCCCTCTTTCTGGAAACTTCTCATGGCTTCCTGACATTGCCCCTGCCTGGCCCTCTTCCACCTCACCAGCTGCTCTGGCCCCGTCTCCTCCACTGCCCTCTCTTCTGTCCCTGCGTGCCCCAGAGCTCTGGCTTGGCTCTGTCCCTCCTCCTCTCTGTCCATATCTCTCCGCCCTGGCCACCGTGCTGGGGCCCATCTGGCTATAACAAGGAACTGTGGCCCAGGCCTGTACTCAGAGCTCCAGGCCAGAGAGCCCAGCAGTCCCCAGCTGGAGGTATTTGAGACGAAAATGGCCACACTCTTGATTTGCACCCACTAAAGCCTGTCTCTGCTCAGATGCCCCTGTGGCCTCCTCATAGCCCCCGAGTCCGACTGGGTCTGGTACAATCTGGTGCCCCTGCTCCTCTGGCCTCACTCCCCCGTCCTCTCTCCCGTCTCCTCCTCCATCTTCCAGTCAGACATTCAAAAACTTGCGTCTCCACCACCCCCCCGGGCTTCACTCTGTGTTGTTCCCTGGCGGTCCCTCCCCACAGGAGTTAGCAGACCTCAGATCAGCAGAACTCCCTGCAGGAAAGACCTCCCGCTGAGCCCCAGACTCCCCCAGCACAGTGGCCCTCTGCCCCCAACTGAGCTCATGGCACCTCTGAAGCCCCCTGACCCTCCAGCAGGGCACTACTCCAAGAATGAGCTCTTCCCTCCTCTGGCTTCTCCACCTTGCCTCACGCACTCAAGTCCTTGCTGCCTCTCTTTGCTCCCTGGCCCCTCAGCCTGGGCTCCTTCCTGCTTCTAGAAGCAAGGAGTTGATGGGGAGACTTCTGCCTGGCCTCGCACAGGCCAGAGTCAGCACAGCCGCCAGTGGTAGCTGACCCACCTTGTACTGCCGTCCCTATAGGGGGCAGCAGACAGAGCGCTGAGCTTCCAGGCAGACCCTGGGGTTCATCCAACACCTGTCCACCCCTCCCTATGTGAGCAGGTGGACACATTAGGAGTTCTGAAGCATTTCCGGGGCCAAGGTTCTATTTAGGATTTGGTTTTCTGGATTTAGACAAGGTGTCAGGGCTTACTCAAGGGCTAACCCCAGCTCTCTGCTAGTTTTGGTTAATAAAGTTTTACTGGTTTAAGGGCACAGTTGTGTCACGGCAGCAGAGACCACGCCTGGAAAGCTAAAAATATTTCCTCTCTGGCTCTGTATAGGAAAAGTTAGCCGCCCCCTAGTTTAGACAATGAATCACCTTTTTTCAGTGACTTTCTTTCAGCCCTGCAGAGGCTCAGCTAGGCAAAGCACAGTGCTCCTGAACAGTTGAAATGATGCCAACCTCATCACCTCTCCAGCGCAAAAAGTGAGCCAGGGCCAGGTTTGGTGGTCCACGGCTGTAATTCCAGCACTTTGGGAGGCTGAGGTGGGCTGATCGCTTGAGACCAGGTGTTCGAGACCAACCTGGGGAACAGAGTGATACTCCCTGTTCCTATTTAAAATAATAATAATAATAAAAGTGAGCCAAAAAGCTCCACATTGGAATTTTCTAGCACCCTATCTGAAATCTGGTTAGGATTTTCTCTGGATTCGGGAAAGTCACATCTGCTAGACGGCAGATGGTCAGCTATTCTCACTCAGGCCTTTATCTCCAGACTGGTTTCTGAATTAGGGGTAACACAGAAATTGAGAATAATTTGACATTTTTAATGAAAAGAAACAGAATTCACCTTTTGTAGCCAATGCAGATGTTGCCTCATTATTTAGGCCTTTTCTGGTACAGGATTGTGGTATGGAAGCTGCCTGGGACATCGCCTACTCCAGCTGTTGCCCATGCCCGTCAAGTCACAAAAAGGACACAATGCTGCAGGCCTTGACCCCAGGGCTGTGTGGGGTGAGATTGCTGGCAGTACACCAGGTGACCTTGGCCACACCCTTCTCCTCACTGAGCTGGTGGCCTCATTCAGACCTGGGGTGTGTGATCAGGCCAGGCCCCTGCTCAAACCTATGCACAGGTCTCACAGCACCTGGCTCAACTCCAAAGACCGCCACAAAGGGCAGCCAGGCCATGGAACCAGTCCTTCCTTCCAGGCTGGGCTTCTGCTGCTACTGCTACTCCAGTCCCACCAGCTGCTCCAGCGTGCCCCTCCCGGATGGCATCTGCCTTGTCTGTGGCTTAACACCAGAGCCTGGCCCAGAGCAGCTGCTCAGCAGACACTTGGGGAATGCACAAGTGACTGAGTGAACCACTGCAGGATGGAAGGGCTGCCCCTCAACATTCTGCTGTTCGGGGGTGCTAAGCTTGGCTGGAGTCCTGGTGAGTCTGTTACAGCTGACAGTGAGTCAGCTTTCTCCAGGCTCTATTTTCCCTGCATTCTAATCCTGGGCCATTAAACAATGTTTTGGTGTTGGTCTTAGGGTAGGGTGTTTTCAGCCCACCCAACACTGAAGGATGCAGTCAATTCCCGGGAGATTGATTCAATGGAAAGCAGCAAACATTTCTAAGAGAGGCCCATCCCAGAGGGCTGCACTCCTACCTGGGTGCTCGAGGATGCCCTCCTTCCACCAGCCTGGGTTCACTCTGTCCTCATTTCAGGCTCCTGCACCACCTGCTGCTCTACTCCCAACCCAGGACGCGCCCCCCTCTACTACTCCCAAAGGACTCTCATGGCCCCCAAGGCTGTCAATGCTGTTTATAGACTATCAGGTCACTGTAAATACTGCAGATACCAGCTGCACCACGTCCACCTTTTCCTGGACTGCCAGACTTCTGCCCTGGCTGCCTCCCAGGTGTCCCCCCTTCGACGCCTAAGGGACCTCTCAAATTGCAGGAGGCCCAGGGAGGACTCTTATCAGTGCTCCAGCTGAACTCTGCCCACCAGCAGCCTTCCCAGTGCAGGGCTCTGGCCAAACCTCAGAGGCGCTTTGACGCCCTGACCCTATGCACCAGACATCCGCATGTCCTATGGGCCCTACCCTAACTCAAAAGCATCTTCCACATCTGAGCCTCTCCCCACCTCCATTGCTGCTGCTATGTCCTGCCTGGGGTCCTGGGGTCCCCTTGGGACCGCAACCCCCACCAGCAAAGCCCTCTATCCTTCCTGTCCCTTCTCCAGGTGGAGTTTCTGAGCTCTATCTGGCTGCCGAGTCAGACTCTTGGTCCCCCATCTGGCTCCAGACCTTCCAGTAGGCAATGGAACTGGCCCGCGTCCTGACTGTGTGGAAATTCATTGAACTGTACCCCAAAAAGCCCGTTTCACTGTAGGACAATTTAAAAAGAAAGGAAAAGAAAGCATTCTTCAGGGAGAGATGCCCCTAGGAGGGTCAGGTTGGGCTGGGGGTTCCCCATCTCATCCGGGGGAGGCGAGGTGGCTCCCCACTATGTGTGCCCACCTCCTTGTGTCCTCCTGCTGTCTCCCTCTGCCACACTTCTCTCTTCCCCATCGTGGGTGATGACCCTGAGAGGCCACAGTCCTTTACTCCTCATAGTCCCCCAGCGCTGTCCGACACTGCTCCAGCCCCTCCTCCTCTTCCATCCCTGACACCCGAGGGCCTTTCCTCTGGGTCTAGGTACTCTCTTCTGGTCCTCGGCCTTCCATTCCATCTGCCGGCTAACAGCCTCTCGACTCCGGCTCCGGCTCCAGACTTAGGCGTCTAAGCTGGGTCTCAAACTTAGCAGGCCCAACCCCCTGGCCCCAGCCCCGTGGCTCCCTTCAAACGCCATCCAGAACCTGCCCTTCATCCCCACCCCTCCATGCCCTTAGCATGGCAGCCCAAAAACCAGAGCGTGTCTTGGTCTCCCCGGCTACAAGCCCTCCACTGGCTGTGGCCCTCAGAGCCTGCCCCGGTCTCTCTCACTCTGCCCTCTTTTACCCCTCAGCCTCCAGCACATCCCACCTGGGGGCCTTTGCTCCGGCCACACCCTACACCGGGAAGGCTCCCCTCACTCTTGTCTCCCCCAGCAGCACGGTGCCCACTTCTGCTCCTTCCTTCAAGTGCCCCCTCCATCCGCCTTTCACTGGAAGGTATCTCCCTGGGGCAGGGATCTGTTTGTCTGGCTCACTGCACCCAGCAGGGTCTCAGTGGACGAGGCTGAATATCTGGGGCCCACATGGCCTGGCATCAGTCTCCTGTGCTGGCTTCGGCCATCACCATGGCTCTTTGCCCACTTTGCGATGCCCAGCTGGCTGGAGCTGTTTCTGAACGCCCCACGCAGGGGCTCCCCAGAGCCATGACCCCTGCCCTTTCTGCTGCCTGGCTGGCCTTTCTCTTTCCTCTGAACTTAGCTCAAGTACGCATCCTTAGAGAGG